TTATTTACAGTAAGATAAATACATTCACCAACTTTTATTAAAATAAAATCATTTAAACTGGGTGTTCGGATTTATATGTCACTTAGTATATTAACTTAGCACTTAGTTGTACGTGTTGCCTAAACGCATGAGGCTTGTTATCAATCTTTGGTTCTGATGTGATGTAAATCTGCTTCTTAGGTGGCATTACTGGAGGACTAAGCTGTAAGTTCTATGTGTTGATGATAATTACATTGGGTTCTTGTCTCAAATACACTTAATTGAGATTCAAAGCTAGAAATCAGTTGCGCATCGACTTTTTCTTATCCATTCTGGAAATTACATGTACAGATTTGCTGACTTTCAAAAATGAGAGAGATAAATAATTATATGCACTGTACACTGTCGAATTACAAGCCATATACATGCTAACAGTAATTACACACAACGCGGGCGCGGTGATGATTTCCCGTAATTCTCCTCAGGTTTTCGTAATTTATAACTTTGAACATAACATCTCTTCAGAAAGCACAACATAAAAATAACCCGTCGGGCACAGCCAATAGATACACTTCATTGGCAGCATATTCAGTAATAAAACTACCTAGTTTGCAAGATGACATCTTATAGGTTTTTTTGACGTTTTATAGGTTTTTTACATGATAATCATGCGGACCTCGTAACTGTGACAGAAAGATCTACCTCCCTGCACCACGAAGCCACAGCGAGAGATCATTCACCACGAGACACCACAATATGGATGACAGAACTCCGCCTTGCGAACAGCACCGTACGGGTATTATGTAAGAAACCTATAAAACGTCAAAAAAACCTATAAAATGTCATCTTGCAGAATAGGTAGTATTTAGGGTGCAGTCATTCCACGTTTACTCACTAGGATCATTGAGAGCGTCCATCTATGGTGAAACAGCTCAACTACACGCACCGTTCGTTACAATTATGTTTTGTGAAGCCTGTGCCCGATGGGTTATTTATATGTTGTCGCTTCTGAAAACAGCTTATGTTCAAAGTTATAAATGACGATTTTTTTACGTTTTTTTGTGCTTTAAAAAACTTTGAGTAGCACTACGAGAAAACGCCACCGCGCCCGCATTGTACGCAATTATGCCACATCACAGAAAAATCAGTAACGACGCATCATACATCTGAGATTTTCGCAATGCCTCACAACATCTTCTTTTCTATTGACATCGCAAATAAATTTGGACCGGAAGTAAAAAATAATGTAACAATTAATATTCCTGTCTGTAGCATATTTTCTCACCTGTTTCTTCAGCAACCACGGATTTCCTTTTCTTATCTCTCTCATTTTTGAAATTTGCGTATGTAATTTCTAGATTGGATAAGAAAAAGTGGATGCGCAACTAATGTCTAGCATTGAATCTCAAGTAAGCGTATTTGAGACAAGAATCCAATGGAATTATAATCAATACATATTACACTGGACAACAAATTTTAGTTTTTTAATTGTATCTTGTGGGAAAAGTGCACTTTGTTAATTTTGGGGCGCTGAATCCAAAAATGACAATGAAATAAAAAATTAGTTGCGGTTTAGAAAAAAAACTTTTATTTTTAAGGATATATTAAAAAAAGTAACAAGATTCATATACTTATAAGAATCACTATATGCGCTGTCTTTTTGCTGTTCTTTTATGGATCGTTTCTGGAGCATCCCTACCAAGAGTCCAACAGCAGTCTGCAAACATGGAAGGATTCCACTTTCCCTGGTACCTTTTTTCCATTGTTGAAATATCCTGATGAAAACGTTCGCCGTGCTCATCACTTACGGCTCCGCAATTGTCAGGTAAAAAGTCCAGGTGTGAGTGTAGGAAATGTTTCTTAAGAGACATATTACAGACCATCTTTTGATACGATGACAGCATATTTTTGACAAGGGTTTTATAGTTGTCAGCTTTTCTATTTCCCAAGAAATTAGTGACCACCAGACGGAAATCATTCCAAGCAGTTTTTTCAATACCTGTTAAAGTGTTTTCAAACTGTGTATCTTTCAAAATATTTCGAATCTGTGGCCCAACAAAAATACCTTCTTTAACCTTTGCCTCACTTAGTCTTGGAAATTTCTGACGCAGGTATTGAAAAGCTGACCCATCTCTATCTAATGCCTTGACAAAGTTTTTCATTAGGCCCAACTTGATATGCAGTGGTGGTAATAAAATTTTTTTCGAATCTACTAAAGGCATATGCTGTACATTTTTTTGACCTGGCTCTAGGAATTGACGAACAGGCCAGTTTTGTCTGGTGTAATGAAGTGCCTTTGCCCGACTGTCCCATTCACACAAAAAACAGCAAAACTTTGTGTAGCCTAGCTGCAGCCCAAGTAAAAGTGCAACAACTTTCAAATCGCCACAAATATGCCATTGGTGCTCATCGTATTTTATGCATGTCAATAGGTACTTCATATTGTCATATGATTCTTTCATGTGAACTGCATACCCTACAGGAAGAGATGGTAAAATATTTCCAATATGCAATAACACTGCCTTTAAACTCAATGTTGAACTGTCTATAAACAATCTCCATTCTTCTGGCTTATAGTTGATATTTAAAGCCGCCAGTAAGCCGTTAATGTTACTGCAGAAAACCAAGTTATTCCCCATATTGAAAAATGGTCTTTGTGGCGTTTACGAAAAACACATACCGAAACATCGTCTTACATTTTGGAAGTTCTAAATCTCTTACAAGATCATTTAATTCTGACTGTGTTATTTTGTGCGGTTGGTGGCATGACGTGCTCGGTATAAAATCAGGATCTCTTGACGTGGATGGCATATCTTCTTCCTGACGAATCACTCGATCGCCATGATCTGATTCGTTTTCTGATTCGCAAGTGTAGGATTCTGGGGGTTTTGGAATAGGATTTTCGTCACTGTGAGGCACAGGTCTCATCGCAGATGGTATGTTTGAGTAGTTAATAATCGATTTTTTTTTCTTGGACATACCTGTGGCTTGTCCAACACAAGGTACCATGCAAAAGTAACAATCATTAATATGATTTGTAGGCTCTCTCCAAACCATTGGGACAGCAAAGCGCATATACCGTTTTTTGCCATTTAACCAGCTCCTCAGACTTGAAGCACATGTATTACAGCAGATGTGGGGTGCCCACTGTTTGTCTTGATCACATAGTTTACAACCGAAATAAAGCTGATATGCCTTTGTTATTAGTGGAGTAATAGACCGTCTCTGAGACGCAAAAGTCACATCACCACACACGTAACAAAACTGATCTGGATTGTTTACACACTTTCGAGACATCATGAAAGCTGTCAGCCAACTGAGGAAAAAATGGCTAATATAAAACAATATAATGTACACGTATGTATAACGTAACACAATCATGCCGATTACATCATCTTTCCTTGCCGAATATAAAAATGTAGCACGTGCATTCTTGTGAATCACAGTATATTAACACTGTCACAGCAGGAATACATATAATTACCGTATCTCTAAAACTTGAACTAATATTGAAAAAATAAGTTTCATACCGGTTTTTGCACATTAAAAATAGTAATATTTTGTTGATTTTATTTAGGATATTTTTTGGCTGTTGATCAGTGTTACACAAATTCTCACTATGCACCTATGCTTTGCCGTTTCCTTGTAGCTACAGTATACAACATACAGCTCAGACCTGCAGTAATGCCATCTCTGAAGCAGGTTTCACATCACATCAGAGTCAAACATTGATAACTGAAGCATCAACACGTACACAACTACGAGTACAAAACGAGTTCACAACGTTTCCATCCGTTAGTGCTAAGTTAACATCTTGTAGAAAAACTTACATAATGTCTCAAAAAAAACAATATAAATTAAAAAAAAATCGACATAATGTCACCTTTCAAGATAAGTAATACCCGTGCCGGAGGAATCCGAATTCCTGTGCGTCTATAATAGATATACCAAATAAGCACTGATACCAAAACGCAGATGTTAGATTCAATAAGTAAAAAGCGTCTCTTGGTAAGGGAGGATTGATTGGTCCACGTAAAGTGGAACCCTAAAATGTACTAGCACGAGTAGACTACGACTTAGTGCGCCCTCTGTTAAGTTCTAACGGTATTAAGGTGCCCTTCTATTGGATGTAGCAGAACAAGGCAGATTACGTCCAGCCACCTCTGTATTTCGTATAATACTGCTACCACACCAATGACATTTTGCAATAGGCTTATTTGGAATCTAATTACGTGTGGTCCATTAGTGATTGGACCCCACGATGATCATACAACAGAGGTGTCTTCACTATAGAGAATGATCTGATAGCCCAAGCTTGTCGGAAGTGACTGCGGCAACCCACTTTCAAGCTTATCGAGTACAATGCCATATTGTCATGCTTTCTCGAAGGTTTGAAAAACCGCACGAAAAAGCAGAGGAAACGCGAATTAGTCCCGCTTTCCTCAACCCCTGTAGGAGGCAGGGGGGCCAAACTGAGCTGGACTTTGTCTTGCCCAGCGGTTGCACAATCTCCAAACCCGCCCTTGCGACGAGTTTGGGATTTATTAGTGACCGTCTCGAAGAAACCTGAATTGTATGACCACGTGGAATTTAATACAAATATAAAATAGGAAATTAGCAAACTCCAGCTAGCTTTGGAGTCGTAAGCATTAAGAAAAATATGACTGTAGCATCCTCTTACACACTGTCGAGAGTTATATCTACTAGTATGAGTAGGCTAGGGTTTATTACGCTGACTGTCGAGTTCTAACGGTATTAAGATGCTATTCTCTTGGATGGTTGCAGCAGAGCAAGACATACTCGTATTAGGTCCACTCACCTTACTTGCAATAGAATTGATTCTGGTCCACTAGTGTTTGGACACACTGAGGTGTCTTCATTATAGAGAAGGAGGAGGAAGCCCAAGCTCATCGGAAGGGGTTGCGGGATGCTTGTTTACAAGCTTTCCGGATACCCAGTCTTGACTTACTGCTTTCTCGTTAGTCTGAAAGACCCCACGTGGAAGCAGGGGGAAACTCGAATTAGTGCCGCTTTCCTCAAACCTAGCGTTTACAGTCTCCAAGCCCGCACTTGCGACGAGTTTGGGTTACAGCCGGCGACCCTCAAGGTTCGGTCCTTGGACCTATCCGTTTTCTCCCTGTACATCCATGACGTCCCTAGCCCCAGCAACTGTGAAGTCTATTTCTATGCTGACGATACTGCATTGGTGGCTCAGTCGTGGTCTGGTCACCTAGTCCATGACAGGCTGCAAAGTGCGGTGGAGGAAGTATTAGATTGGGCGGATCGGTGGCTAATTTAAATTAACCATTCGAAAACGCAAGCAATCTACTGTACAAAAAGACGTCGCGGCGATACGTCTGAAGTTTCAATGAATGGACTTCGCATACCATGGGAATCCTCCGCTAAGTATCTCGGTGTCATTCTGGACAAAGGGATGACTTGGCGAAACCATACAGAAGCGCTAAAAACTAAATTCCAAATTACGTTTCGACAGCTTTACCCATTATTATGTAAACGTTCAAAATTAAGTTTGATTAACAAGATTCGACTCTATAAGACCAGCATGTGCGGCTTGGTGTTTTATTGCTAAAACACACATGCGAAATCTGCAGGTTCTGCAAAGCAGGACGTTGCGCACTATTGCTGACGCTCCATGGTATGTCTCTACATAGAGACCTCGATGTCCCTTACCTAAAGGACTACATCAGGCAACAGGCGCAGCGGCGCTATAGCCTAGCGGAATCGCACACGAACCCTCTGTTGCGTGAGTCAGTGGACTACACAGTCGAGCAAGTTCGCAAGCACAAAAGGCCGCGGCTCGCACTGTAATCAAAATTAATTCGTGAACTTAGAACAACCAAAATTGGAGCATTTTGACAAAATCTTTAGAAAAAATCGAATATTTTTAGACCATAGAAGTGGTTTTAACAATGCCTAAACGCTGCCTATCCTAAAAGATTCTCTTCTTCCCCTTTGCTCTCATTCTTCCTTCTCTCCTTTCCTTAAAATTGTCTGGTTTCTGGGATACCAGACTTACAAACTGACACTGTGACTCAAGAGCTAAGGTCCCACGGACTGCTCTGATAACCAACGATGACTTGACTTGACTTGACGAGTTTGGGAGTTATCAGTGACTATCTCGAAGAAACCTGGATTGTATTTGTAGCCTACGGTTTGAACGAATAAAGTAATATAGAAATTACAGTCATACCGGCTACCATCAGAAGCCCCCTAGTGGGCCCTTATGAACCACCGCATTCCCTGAGCCTCCAGCTCCCCCTTTTAGCAAAGTTGAGTATAGTCACCATCACATGCAGATTAATTCGATTCAAAGATAAGCAAAAGCATTTATCCGTAACACTGGGCTTCACGATGAGCTCCCGTGCCTGACTGAGTTCCTCCTAACCCTTTGCGCGGCCATCCCTGGGCTGGCTCAGGACCAGCAAGCTTGTCCGCTCATTCTGCTTTCGAGAGAGCATCCACCATAGCACTACCCTTTATCCCAGCGTGCCCTGATTCTAACACTTACGATACCGGATGCCTCGCTGCTAAGTCATCAGGCGCCTCCTTGCATTGCCATACAAGGCTCGAAGTAATCTTGCAGGCTTGCAGGCACCTAGTGCCTTCATCGCCATCTGGCTCTCGGGGGGAGGTTGTTATTTCCCCTTAGGACATTTCCCCTACAAAATGCGGTATACGCAAGTCAGAATCGCATAGATTTCCACCTGCAGTGGTGTATCCGCTGAGAGGCAGTGAGTCTAGTCCTAAGCCCAAAGACACTGGTGCCCGAGCCCTCCTCAGTAACCGAGCCATCCGTGTTCCAGACCTGTCCAGATCCTTCGGAGACCTTCAGGCTTCCGGAATCACACTCCGCCCTCATCGGATACTACACATTAAACTTGCGGACATTTGGGTGGTCAGATCACCCCCTGCTCAGAAAGACGGAATACTCCCTTTGCAATTCGACTACGATGGCAGTGTGACCCTTGATAGGATTTATAAAGGCCCAGCTGCCCTGACTCCACAGTTAATGTGCGACAAATTGGGATAGAACTAGTCTAGTCCCAAAGAAGGTCGGCATGATAAGCCCGTCAAGCTTCCTTCGCCTAGTGAACAGAATCAGCTCAGATCTCCCAACTTTGACAGAAAGCTCGACCTCCCTGCATTACGATTCCACAGAGCGCAAAACAGCTCTATTGTCGAGCCTTGCGGAGAGATCATTCACCTGTCACACCACGCTATCCATGCTAGGTGTCACATAATTCGGCATTGCTAAACTAACGCTGCAGCTTAGCTGTTGTTGCACGACGTTCCAGGATTCCATACTCTATCCATAGAGCCCACAATCCGGACTGATCCGACCCCCTGCCTGACCAAGTCGTGTCTGATGGAGTCGGTTGTAGCATCTAATTAAATGCTCCTTCAATATCCAAAAAGGCAAGGAGTGCCACTGCTCGATTATCTAAAGTCTTCTTCAGCCTACCGGCCAGATTAAGTAAGGCGAGATCAGTCGATGTAAACGGATTAGAATTAATGGCACACCTCTCCAGCGCGCCATCCCTAAAAAATCTGTCAACTATCCTTACCAGTGTCATCAGCACAAGAGTTGAAATGGTAATCGGGCGTATATATACTAAGTGACATATAAATCCGAACACCCAGTTTAAATGGTTTTATTTTAATAAAATTTTGTATAACTACTTAATGAAGCATAATAAGTAAATGATAAAAATTTCAAAATGATTGCATTGCTAAAGCCCTTTGACCTTTAATAATGTGTGGATACACCCTGATGTGCTACGCATTCTCCAACGCGCCTAGGCATGCTTCTGATCAGGTGGTCAATGTCCTCCTGTGGTATCTCATTCCAGGCAACCACCAACTCCTCTCGAAGTGCTTCTAGAGTCTGAGGAGGACGTTGCAAATTGAGCAATCTCCTACCCATCATATCCCACACGTGCTCAATTGGGGATAAGTCGGGAGATCTTGGTGGCCATGGTAACAATGTGACATCATTATGTTGAAAGAAGTCTATTGTGACTCTTGCAACATGTGGTCGGGCATTATCTTGTTGGAAAGTTGGATCTGCCAGGGTGTCAAGATAGGGTAAAAGATGGGGTTCTAGAACTTCGTGGATATAACGCTGATGAAGATTAAAGGTGACCTGGAACCATAAGCTATAGCACCCCAAACCATAACTCCAACAGTGTGATGAACATGTCTTTCAACAAAAAACTGTGGATTCCTCCTTTCACCACGTCGCCTTATAACCCTTACACCGACGTAATCGCCTTGAGTGGTGCAGACAACGGTCACTCTGGGATCAGGAATGGAACAGTATTGTCTTTAGTGACGAGTCTCGATTTTGTTTAGGCATGCACGATGGTCGTGCCAGGGTTAGAAGGCGACGTGGTGAAAGGAGGAATCCACAGTTTTTTGTTGAAAGACATGTTCATCACACTGTTGGAGTTATGGTTTGGGGTGCTATAGCTTATGGTTCCAGGTCACCTTTAATCTTCATCAGAGGTAACATGAACGCGCAGCGTTATATCCACGACCTTCTAGAACCCCATCTTTTACCCTATCTTGACACCCTGGCAGATCCAACTTTCCAACAAGATAATGCCCGACCACATGTTGCAAGAGTCACAATAGACTTCTTTCAACATAATGATGTCACATTGTTATCATGGCCACCAAGATCTCCCGACTTATCCCCAATTGAGCACGTGTGGGATATGATGGGTAGGAGATTGCTCAATTTGCAACGTCCTCCTCAGACTCTAGAAGCACTTCGAGAGGAGTTGGTGGTTGCCTGGAATGAGATACCACAGGAGGACTTTGACCACCTGATCAGAAGCATGCCTAGGTGCGTTGGAGAATGCGTAGCACATCAGGGTGCATCCACACATTATTAAAGGTCAAAGGGCTTTAAATCATTTTGAAATTTTATTATTACATTATTACATTTACTTATTATGCTTCATTAAGTACTTATACAAAATTTTATTAAAATAAGACCATTTAAACTGGGTGTTCGGATTTATATGTCACTTAGTATATATATATATATATATAAGGCCAGTATATCTAACTCTGCCCAGTTTAGGAATAAATACCACTTTAGCCTGCCGACAGCTTCTAGGTGTGAAGCCCATGGCCACACATGCTCGAAATACCTTCAGAAGGCAAGGTAAAACTGAATTCCGGCCATGCTGTAACATGGCCGGAAATAAATCGTCCAAATTGAGTGGATGAAACGAATCGATCGCGCATGCCAGCCAATCAAAAGTGACAATCTCTCCTCCCATGCACCAGTCCTCCTCTGAGGGCTAGCGTAACGACATGCACTTAAGCTAGGGTCTTGCACGCCCTCTGTTAAATTTTCTCGGTATTAATGTGCTGTTCTCTTGGATGATTGTCGCAGATTACGTCCTTCCACCTTTGTATTTGGTATAATACTGCTATCATACCAATAACATTTTTCAATAGGTTTATTTGCAATCGAATAACTTGTGGTCCATTAGTGATTGGATCCCATGATGATCATACAACTGAGGTGTCTTCATTATAGAGAATGAACTGGTAGCCCAAGCTTGTCGGAAGGCGCTGCGGGATGTTTGCTTGCCTGCCTAGTGTCCAAGAAACGACTTACTGCTTCCTCGTCGGTTTGGGAGATCCCACGTTGAAGCAGAGGAAACGCGATTTAGTCCCGCTTTCCTCAACCCCTGTAGGAGGCAGGGGAACTCGACTGAGCTGGACGTTGTCTGGCCCAGCGGTTGCACAATCTCCAAACCCGCACTTGCGATGAGTTTGGGAGTTATCAGTGACCGTCTCGAAGAAACCTGGATTGTATGACCTCTTGGAACTTAATACAAACGTAAACTAGGAAGTTAGCAAACTCCAGCTCGTTTTGGAGTCGTAAGCATTATGGAAAACACATATCCGTACCCTTTTAAACAAAGCCGAGATTTATATCTACTAGCATGAGTAGGCTAAGGTTTAGTGCGCCCTCTGTTGAGTTCTAACGGCGCTATTCTCTTGGATGATTGTAACAGAATAAGGCAGATTACGTCCACCAAAGTTTGTATTTGGTAAAATACTGCTATCACACCAACGAAATTTTTCAATAGGCTTATTTGCAATCGAATTACTTGTGGTCCATTAGTGATTGGACCCCACGATGATCATACAAATGAGGTGTCTTCATTATAGAGAAGGAGCTGGTAGCCCAAGCTCGTCGTAAGGGGTTGCGGGATGCTTGCTTCCAAGCTTGCCCAGTCGCCAGTCTATCCACTGCTTTCTCGTTGGTTTGAAAGATCCCACGTTGAAGCAGAGGAAACGCGAATTAGTCCCGCTTTCCTCAACCCCTGTAGGAGGCAGGGGGACCCGACTGAGCTGGACGTTGTCTGGTCCAGTGGGTTGCACAATCTCCAAACCCGCACTTGCGACGAGTTTGGGAGTTATCAGTGACCGTCTCGAAGAAATCTGAATTGTATGACCACATGGAATTTAATACAAACATAAATTAGGAAGTTAGCAAACTCCAGCTCGCTTAGGAAATATACGTCTTCGTACAGCAATCCCTTTACTCAGAGCTGAGAGGCATAAATAGTTGCATGAGTGGGCTAATGTTTGAATGAATAAATGAATAAAGCAATTAGAGCCATACCGCCTACCATGAAGTGCCGTATAACGGGCCTTTATGCACCACAACATCCCTGCGCCTCAATCTCCGCTCTGCTAGTAAAATTGAATACAGTCGTGAGTCCCAGCGCCTTAACTTCCGAAGTGTTGGACCCCAGAATAGTCTGCTTGTCGTAGCTCAGAGCCTCACAGCGACACAGAACGTGCGGCGGGGACTCTTCCTTTACCCACAGCGCTTACATATGGGGTCCTCAGCCAGCACCATTACATGCACGTTCTATCCATTGATAAGTAAGTGTACATCCTTGAATGAATGAATCTTCAAGTTAGAGGCATTCCGGCCACCATAAGGAGCCAGTGCATAGGCCGCTTAAGCGGGCCCTTATGCACCTCTACATTCCTTAGATCACAAGCCTCGCCCTTTTAGCGGAGTTGAGAATCGCCTTGAGTCCAAGTTCCTTGACGTCCTGAGGGTCCAAAGTAATGGACTCCAGTATAGTCTGCCTATAGTAAATCAGAGCTTCACAGCGACACAACACGTGTGCCGAGGTCCCTTCCTCTACCCCGCAGCGTTCACACAAGGGATCCTCAGCCATCCCATCACGTGCAGGTGGCGCCTTAACGGGTGATGGCCAAACAAAAGTCCCACCAGCAATCTTAGGTTGGCTCTATCCAGAGATAGGCAGAAACGTCCATCCTTAGCACTGGACCCTTCAATGAGTTCCCGTGCCTGGCGGAGATGTCTGGAGATACTTCTCCATTTCTGAGAGTGTTGTCTTGCAACCTACATCTCCATTTTCCTCCTAGCTCTATGCGCGGTCACTCCTAGAGCTGGCTCAGGACCAACGAGCTTGCTGGCTGATCCTGTCTTCGCCAGAGTGTACATCCTTAATACCGAGCCCTATGATGAGCTCCCGTGGCAGACGGATATATCCAGAGATACTCCTCTATTTCAGAGAGTGTTCTCTAACAATCCATTTCTCCATTATCCTTCTCACTCTGTGCGCGGGCACCCCTAGTGCTGTCTCAGGACCAACAAGCTTGCCCGCTGATTCTGCTTTCGTGAGGGCCTCCGCCATATCATTACCCTTTATCCCAGCGTGCCCCGGTACCCTCGCTAATGATACCGGATGCCTCGTCTCGCTATCCAGAGACTCCCTGCATTGCAGTACAAGGCTCGAAGTAATCTTGCAGGCTCTTAGTGCCTTCATCGCCACCTGGTTAAGGGAGAATATTGTTATTCTTCTCCTAGGTCATTTCTCCTCCAAAATGCGGGATATGCAAGTCAGAATCGGATAAATTTTTACCTGTATAGTGGTGTATCCGCTGAGAGGCGGTAAGTCTAGTTCTAGGCGCAAAGACCCCATTGGCAGAGCCCTCTTCAGTAACCGAGCCGTCCGTGTACTAGACCTGCCCACTTCCTTCGGAGACCTTCAGGCTTCCGGAATCACACTCCGCCCTCGTCGGATACTCCACATTAAACTTGGGATCAGATCACCCATGCTCAGAAGGACTGGATCCATCCTTTGCAATTCGACTAAGATGGCCGTGTGACCCTTGACAGGATTCACAAGGGCCCAGCTGCCCAGTCTCCACAGTTGATGTGCGACAACTCTCGCCTCTCTGCAGATCGCTAGATCCAACAGTTGGAGACCCAGTAGAGTTTGCATTGCATTCAATGGTGTCGTTTGCACAGGGCTTATAGTAGTGGTACAAGCCAAACGCTGAATTTTGTTGAGTTTGCCCTTAGTCGTCTCGGTTCCAATGCAAGGCTACCAAACCATACAAAGAGATGGACGCGTACTATCGTTGTATAGAGGAAGTGCTCCACTTTGAGCTAAAGCCTCCACGTAACAACCCGTCTGCAACCCCACGATGAATCGTGAGCCTTGTTCACACTACTCAAAATGCTCTTTCTATGGGGATACTCCCAAAGAAGGTCAGCATGACAAGTCGTCAAGCTTTCTTCGCCTAGTGAACAAAATCTGCTTGGTCCTTCCAGCTTTGACAGAAAGAACGACTTCTCTGCAGCACGAACCCACAGAGCGCAGAGTGCCCTGCATAATCGCAGAGACCGTTCTACAAAAACGACCTCTAAGTACTATGCTTAAGTCGTCAGCATGGGCTTGCACATAACTACCTTAATTGTCAAGGCTAGCGGGGAGATAATTCACCACGAGACATCACAATAGGGATAGCCCCGAGCTATACTGACGCTGCAGAAGACGTCGTTCAGCTTGGCTGTTGTTACACGACGTTCCAGGATTCCATCCTCTATCCATAGAGCCCAATTAACTAGGACTGATCCGACGAGTGCCACTTCTCGCTGATCTAAAGTCTTCTCCAGCTTACCGACCAGATTGAGTAAGGCCTGATCAGTCGATGCTAACTTATTGGAATTAACGGCACACCACTCCAGCAGGCCATCCCTTAAAAATCTGTCAACTATCCGTTCCAGTGCCATGAGCACAAGAGTTGAAAGGGTAATCGGACGTAAGGCTTTCGGGCCAGTATAGATAGGCCCAGTTTAGGAATAAATACCACTTTAGCTCCCCGCCAGCTTCAAGGTGTGAAGCCCATGGCCACACATGTTCGAAATACCTTCAGAAGGCAAGGTACAACTGAATTCCGCCCATGCTGTAACATGGCCGCAAATAAATCGTCTGAACTCGTACTTTTGTATGGATCAAACGAATCGATCGCCTATGTTAGCCAATCAAAGGTGACAATCTCTCCTGCCATGCACCAGTCCTCCTCTGAGGGCCAGCGTAACGACATGCACTTAGGCTAGGGTCTAGTGCGCCCTCTGTTGAGTTTTCGCGGTATTAATGTGCTGTTCTCTTAGATGAATGTAGCAAGGCAGATTACGTCCACTCACCCTTGTATTTTGTATAATACTACTATCACACCAATGATATTTTTCAATAGGTTTATTTGCAATCGAATTGCTTGTGGTCCATTAGTGATTGGATCCCACGATGATCATACAACTGAGGTATCTTCACTATAGAGAAGGAGCTGGTAGCCCAAGCTTGTCGGCAGGCGGTGCGGGATGCTTGCTTCCAAGCCTATCCAGTACCATATCACAGATCTCACGTTGAAGCAGAGGAGACGCGAATTAGTCCCGCGTTCCTCAACCCCTGTAGGAGGCAGGGGAAATCGACTGAGTTGGACGTTGTCTGGCCCAGTGGGTTGCACAATCTCCAAACCCGCTCTGGCGACGAGTTTGGGACTTATCAGTGACCGTCTCGAAGAAACCTGGATTGTATGATCCGTTGGAATTTAATGCGAACATAAACTAGGACATTGACTAGGACTAGGACACCCGCGCCGTCTGTTGAGCTCTGATCGTATTAAGGTGATGTTCTCTTGGATGAGAGTAGCAGAGCAAGGCAGATTACGTCCACTCACCTTTGTATTTGGTAGGATACTGCTATCACACCAATGACATTTTTCAATACGCTTATTGCAATCGTATTAGTTATTGTCCATTAGTGATTGGACCCCACGATGATTATATAACTGAGGTGTCTTCATTATAGAGGAGGAGCTGGTAGCCCAAGCCTGTCGGAAGTGGCTACGGGATGCTTGCTTCCAAGTCTGCCCAGTACTAAGCCGTAAACTTTTACTTCCTCGTTGGAAATTGAAAATTCCCACGCTGGAGGAGAGGAAACGCGAATTAGTCCCGCTTTCCTCAACCCCTGTAGGAGGCAGGGGGACCCGACTGTGTTGGACTCTGTCTTGCCCAGCGGTTGCACAATCTCCAAACCCGCACTGGCGACGGGCTTGGGAGTGATCAGTGACCGTCTCGAAGAAACCTGGATTATATAACCTCGTGGAATTTAATACAAACAAAAACTAGGAAGTTAGCAAACTCCTGCTCGCTTTGGAGTCGTAAGCACTAAGAAAACAACACATGCGTGTAGCACCCTCTTAGACAGAGCCGAGATGCCGTGAGGCATATCTACTATACTATAACTATCTAAAACTGTAATGACTCATCGATGTTCACGTGAACATCACTTAACTACCAGTAGTCGGCTGTTCATAGGCGGGGTATGAATGTTTAACATGGGTGAACTAGATTTGTTACATGCTTAATAAAGAGTGGTTTGAAACATATTGTAAGTCAAAAATTTGGGAATTACCTTTATTCATCGTCGCTTCCACTTACATCTGACAGTAATAAACTGTCGCTATCGCTTTCCTCGTTGAAATTGACTATAACTGGCTCTATGATGGTGTCGATGTGGTGGTCAAGCTGCCACATTTTTGTTTCTTCCTTCACAACATGACGGATAGCATTCTGCAAAGCTTCGCGCGTTACTAGCTGTATGGAAGTCTCAAGTAAAAGCTTAACGTATGGTAATTTGAAGATTGTGTTATGGCGCGCAATATAACCCTTCACTTGAGCCCAGATGAGCTCACAGTGGTAGGGCGGTAACCGCAGCACAGTGACACCACATTGACGGGCCATCTCATCAGTCACGTAACTAATGTTCGCAGGTTTGTGCTGTTTAATTTCTTCATACAATTCCGCTTTCACACATGAATCGTCAAACGGGATTCCTTTTTCGCGCAACCATTGCTGCATGTCACTTTTTCGAGATCCCATAGTCGGTACACGTTCGGCTCGACGACTATGGTAGGAAGCATTATCCATGACGATCACAGAGTTGGGCTCAACTCGTTCAAGCACCCCTTGAAACCAGCTCTCGAAGCAGCTGGCATTCATTTCGTCATGGTAATCACCTCCTTTTCCTCATTACCTCGACGCTCATTTGGGGTATAATTTCATTTTCCTTGATCGCTGCATGTACAGCTTTGAGGGTTGGTATCTCATTCCTAAAGAAGTATGAATGTATGGTTCGCCTTAACGCCATTTTGCTATCGTCATCCAATTTAACGGCGTTTCGTCCCTTCAAATTAAACTTTGGATCAGTAGTAGCTCCAGTTTTCTTCTTTTCATGCACCACCCTGCGAATGGTCCACTCTGGAACGCCTGTCATACTTTCACAACGCGCGAGTGCATCTCCCTGCGACATAGTTCTGTTCAGATAATTGAACACGTTGAGCACGATTTCTTTCGCGTCCCTCGTCAGTGCTTTACGAAGCCATCTACTTGTTCCCTGGCTTTCAGTACTTCCACTCGTGCCATTTGTACTCTCCATGGTTAAGTATAACCAAAACAGTAACCACAGAAACCACAACAATAACAATCACACAACAATTCTTATAAAAACACACAATATGCGATCGCTCAACGAAACACGTTCCAATGCGTTGCCGACGCCTATGAGTCTGCCGGTCGAGGCGCGTCTTTGATTTCATTGGTTCTACCGGCGGAGAACAATCAGCCATTATTTCCATCTCTGTCTGTGCTGTTGACCACCGCAAAGCCACAGAAACGACATATGTCGTACGCTATACGGCTGTACTGGAAGGAAGCCGGGATCGAGCTCTGATCACGTGTTGATCACGCGTATGAGTCATTACAGTTTTAAATAGTTGTAGTATAGTATGAGTAGGCTAGGAGTTTGTGCGCGCTCTGTTGAGTTCTAACGGTATCAATATGCTGGTCTTTTGGATAAGTGTGGCAGGGTAAGGCAGATTACGTCCAGCCAGAATACTGCTATCACACCAATAACATTTTTCAATAGGCTTATTTGAAATCGTATTATTGTGGTCCATTAGTTATTGGACCCCAGGATGATCATACAACTAAGGTGTCTTCATTATGCAGAAGGAGCTGGTAGCCCAAGCTTGTCGGAAGTGACTGCGAGGTGCCTGTTTTCAAGCTTGTCCAGTACACTTTCATGTCATTATGTTTTCTCGTTGGTTTGAAAGATCCCACGTTGAAGCAGAGGAAACGTGGATTAGTCCCGCTTTTCTCAACCCCTGTGGGAGGCAGGGAGACCCGACTGAGCTGAACTTTGTCTTGCCCAGCGGTTGCACAATCTCCAAACCCGCCCTTGCGACGAGTTTGGGAGATATCAGTCACCGTCTCGAAGAAACCTGGATTGTATGACCTCGTGGAATTTAATACAAACATAGATAGAGCGACTCAACACTCTCACGCTCTATAAAGCGGTAACGTTCGTCCGGTTGCGGATCTCTGTTCTCCGGGGCCCGACGCAGGAACTACAGGGGGCTCCTAAGAAAACCCAAGGATGAGGACCCCGCATTAGAGCGAATTTCGCTGATACCCAAAAATGTGGAAGGGATTGCAGCTGTTGCAAGAGATCATTATTCTTAGATATACATTTTCTGTACTCTGGGGGCTTTGGAATCGCGGAACAAGGCCTCTCGCTTACCAGGGTCTGACGTACAATGCGTTATCATAGATCTCTTTCTGTGTGCAACCTGTGGCCCTTGGGTGGAACCTGTATATTACCGAGAAGAACATTAGCATCACTATGTTTGGCACGCCTTCTATAGACCGCAATGGTAACGATGTACCGTTTCCTTAGGTAGATGTAGCGGAGCAGAGCCTGTCCATGAATTATATAATTATAATATTGCATTGACGATTTTTACTTCTTATGTCAAAACTCTGGAGGAGGTGTAATCGCGAATAATTTCGAAATTGAGATATGCCTCTTGGATGTTAGATGACGTGTGAATTACGAAAAACCACCACCATTTCCGTCGATCTATCGGTCTGTCTGCTAATTTTATAACCGCCTATATCTTGGAAAGTACATCTCGGATTTTGATTAAATTTTCAAACAAGGTTACTGTTATGCCAAGGATGAAAAAGCTATGGAAAATCGATCTAAAGGTGGCGAAGCTAGGGGTACAACTACGACAAAAGAATTAAATCGCTTTAGCGTTTTTTCGGCGTTTCAGAAGCTCCTGATCCTTTTCGGAATCTTTTTTGTAGGGTTGGGGGCTGTAGGGGGTCCGGGTTGTAAATTTTACGACTTTAGTATTAGTCATATACCGACAGTGCAATGGGTAAAGCAAACTCCAACTGGTTTGTGGTGGTGTCGACTCTGACACACCGCTACGGGGAACTATTTATACAGGGTGACTTCGAAGTTGAGTCATTTATTTTAACAGTGAGTAGATCTGATCAAAAGAAATGTTTTTTGTCTTTACCATTTTTCTGGTAAAATTAAAGTAACAAAGTTATAGCCCTTTGGAAGTTTGAGTACCGCCCTGTCTCAATAATAATATTATGTGCTCGTGTTTGGCAACAACGGATATAATCCGCCTTATCGGTTCATCGTATCGGAAACAAAAAAGCGAAAGAATTTGGAACGATGTTTTTACAATTATTTTATTCAGTTGTATACACTCAGTGTCAGTCGGTAACGCGTGAGTGAATAGTGGTGTCTGTTGCGTGGCTCAAACGAAATAAAAACTGGCACATGTTTATGCGGATTGGTTTCCCAATCGAGTGCAAGCAACCCCTCGTGCCTTTGTTAATGTAGTACAACGGGCTCGTGAATCAGGTGACTTAAGACCTCACAGGGGACGGCATGCCGGTGCTCCAAGATCTCACGATGAAATACAGGTCCGCACTGAAAAACTTGTCGGGAGGATACTTTATAAAACAAGGTAATTTTTTTTTATTTTTTTTTATTTTTACACACATATTTTGGTTTATCTTCCTTCTACAATCATTATCTGAAAATTAATGACTCAACTTCAAAGTCACCCTGTATATTTGGATTTTGGGAGTACGTACGATCTTAGCATTCTTTTGTAAATTATGGCTATCTACGCATATATTTTTCTGAATTTTATGATCCTTAAATGTACCCATTAATCTTAACCTTTAAGTTTTGTTTCTCCATCTATGATGGTTCTGTAATTATTCCGTCAACTAGATCGACCCAGTACTTATGACACATTGATATGCAACATGAACAGACAAACCGGCATAATTGAGAACCCGGACTTGTGTGATCCAGATGTCATTGAGCAACAGAAAACTTGTGAACCAGTCTACGAATATTATCGCGAGTTTAATACTTCCATGGTTTAGGTAGTCGTAGATTTTGAAAATTGATTCAGACGCGGTGGGAATGTCGTTTAACACGCGATTTACGTTGCGCCACGACATCACTCAACAATGTTCAGTGCCACAGTGAGGTTATGCCACTGTCGACTCACACTGCCACGTGACAAAAAGAACGAGTGTAAATGAGCGCCAAGAAAAACGGGTTTCTAGTAGTGTTCCTTAAAACATAGTTCTTATGAAATTGTTTTTTCGCACCAGATAGATTTGATTTCCTGGGACACCATGTATACCTAGCTGTTGCA